CCCCCCCCCCATTAAATTACAAAACAAATCCCATTGAATTACAAAAAATCTTCATTATATTACAAAATCAAAATGGAAATATAACAGCAACATACAATTTTTTAGCTCACCTGGCACAAAGTCCGGGTCTGGCGTCAATATTTTACTTTAAACAACTTCTTCGTAATAACCAAGAGGCCTAGGGTGTCGATATTTGGCCAGAAGCAAACTGGAATGAAGCGCTACCAAGTTTGTTCAAATGAATGACCTTCACCTATTTTCAAGGTCACAGGGGTCAAATATGTTAAAAACTTGAAACAACTTCTTCTAAATAACCAAAATGCCCAGAGTGATGATAATTGGCCAGAAGCATGCTTGGATGAAGGGCTACCAAGTTTGTTTAAATGTATGACCTTGAATCATATTCAAGGTCACAAGGAGCAAATATGTTCAAAACCTTTAAACAACTTCTTCTGAATAACCAAAATGCCCAGGGTGATGATATATGGCCAGTAGCATGCTTGGGTCAAGGACTACTATGTTTGTTCAAATGAATGACCTTCACACATATTCAAGGTCACAGGGGTCAAATATGTTAAAAACTTTAAACAACTTCTTCTGAATAACCAAAATGCACAGGGTGATGATATATGGCCAGTAGCATATTAGGGTAAAGGGCTATCAAGTTTGTTCAAATGAATGACTTTCACCTATATTCAAGGTCACAGGGGTCAAATATGTGAAAAACATTAAACAACTTCTTCTGAATAACCAAAATGCCCAGGGTGATGATATTTGGCAGTAGCATGCTGATATGAAGGGCTACAAAGTTTGTTCAAATGCATGACCTTCACCCATATTCAAGGTCACAGGGGTCAAATATGTTATAAACTTTAAACAACTTCTTCTGAATAACCATAATGCCCAGGGTGATGATATTTAGTCAGTAGCATACTAGGATCAAGAGCTACCAAGTTTGTTTAAATGTATGACCTTGAATCATATTCAAGGTCACAAGGAGCAAATATGTTCAAAATATTTAAACAACTTGTTCACCCTTATTCAAGGTCACAGGGGTCAATTGTCTTAAAAAACCTTTAAGCAACTTCTGATGAATAACCAAAAGGCTCAGGATGTTGATATTTAGTCAGTAGCATGCTGTGATCAAGGACTACTATGTTTGTTAAAGTGAATGACTTTGACTTATATTCAAGGTCACAGGGGTCAAATTTGTTTAAAATCTTTAAACGACCTCTTCTGAATAACCATGGATCCCAGGATGTTGATACTTTGCAAGTTGCATCCTGAGATGAAAGGCTATAAAATTTGTTCAACATAATGACTTTGTTCGACTTTCAATCACAGGGGTGAAATGTTTTAAAAGAAATTAACAGGATCTTTTGAATGAATTTTAATCATAAATACTGATATTTTTCCTGTAGCTTTATTTTAGATCACTTTTAAGGTTACAAGTGTGAGATTTATACCAGGTGAGCGATGCAGGCCCATTGGGCCTCTTGTTCAAATTACAATTTTGATTAACAATAGCATTACAGGTATTTTCATTATTTGTTGACAATATGATTTTTATATTTTTTAATTAATTGCTTCTTTATTTGTTTTAGGGAGTGATTTCATAATTCACCATGTCACAAGATAACTTTGGCCAAGAGGGGTTTTATAGTGGTAATTACGACGCATCTAACCAGGGTTACGACATGAACAGTGCTGGGGCAGGCCAAACTTTTGGACAAGATCCGTAAGTAGTATTGTAAAGTCTTCTGTTTGCCTGCCTTGGTGTGTGAATTATGCATGTAATTTGTATGAGATAAAAGTGCTGAAATATTTTTTTCTGTAATCTACCATATTACAAGTTGTCCCATCAAAACATATCCTGATCACGCAGTGTTTTTGTGTTTGTAACAATCCATAAATACTACTATGACAGTTGCTCAGGAATCAATGAGCATAAAAAAAAATCCTCTGAGAAAATCTCTTCTGAATTTTGGAAGATATACAGTAAAAATCATTTGGATTGTAGAAATTGAAATTCATTGATCTTCCACAGACAAGTAATTTACCCTGCATGATACCATCCTCGATATCCAGGGGTTACGCTCACTTTCGCTCTATGCACCCCTGGAATATGTCATAGCAAAATCGAAGGCTCACCTTGTGGATGAAACGAGAAGACTAGTTTTATCCTTTGATGTGCATCAAAAGAATCTGTCAGTCCGTAGCTGTAATCTTCAAGGGACAGGTATCAGCATAGCAATTGGTCAGGTGTTTTTTTTTTTACCTGAGACCAATCAAGTAGATAGCTGTGTGCCTTCAATTTTGTTATGACATATTCAAGGGGTACAAAGAGCAAAAGTGAGTGTAACTCCTTGAGTACCAAGAATGACATGATGCTTGAATATGTCAAGATATCAGTCCAAATAAAAATATTATTTGGTTTCTGTTACCTTCCTACCCTAAATTTTTGTTTTCCTACCAAAAACAGTTTTTGGCAATTTGCAGTAAAACACTGTTAAAGTCAAGGTTGTTCTCCTATATAAACCTTTAATTAGGATAAATGTAGAAGAAAATAAATCATTACATACCAACCCAAATTGTTTTGGAACATGTTACAGGAAATAAACATGTTCTTTTGTTTGGGCTAATGAAGATTTTGACCTAATATATAACAGAAGTGAATATAATGTTAATTCATCAACTGCTTTATTTTTATTTTTAGACAATTTGGTCAGTTTGACTACTCCCAGGGATACCCAGACCAGAGTAACTCTGCCCCTCAGAATGTCTACGCAGGATCTATCATGACCCCCGAGGTACCCAATGCCTACACGGGGCCGAGCAGTAACAGTGGAGGGGACAGCTACGAGGACGAACTACCACTCATGGAAGGTCTGCATTGAAATGATATTTTAACTCATTCACCCCTCATTCAGAGGACCATGTGGAAGATTAGCCTTTGGATAAACATGTATTTTTTCCTCAATAAATAAAGTTTATTATTATTACTCCTATATAAATAAATTGGAATTGCCCAGTCTTTGATTTGGTAAGGCTCAAATGTGACTTTAGGGGTGAATGGGTTAACAGTGTTTTGTTGTTGTTCTGGTTCAAATAATCCAATTTATATGAGCTTGCTCTGTCTCACAAAAGGTCTGTAAAAAAATGTTTATGAAGGTGATGTTCTTTTTTGTTTATTCCAAACTTGAGTTTGTCTCAAGATGAGTTTCAATATTAAATAGTTTTTTTAAATCAGCTGAAAATAAATAAAAAGAAAAATAACATAAATCACTTAATTTTTTCTTATTTCTTTTTATAACTCCAGATCTGATACACAAGGATTTCTTTTCATTCATTTGTGTACTAATCATTATTGAAGGAGTTCATTAGGTGCATTTTGGATGGGCTCTGACTGAGTTCAAAGGTAGAACAGAATCCATGCATATTTTATACATTAATTTTTTCTGTGGACTTTATGGTGCTGTTAATGGGCCCCATTCCACATTGAAACTATTTCATATTTATGCCTAATTCCCAAAAGTTGCAGTTTACTCCTGACAATTTCCTTCACAATTAGTATATTTTCTTCTCAAAATGAGACAAAAAGGTTGATTGATTAAGAATGATTCACAGTTTGTTAGAAATTTGCCTTACACCATATTTGAAAAAGTGTTAGGAAACAAATTTTGAAAATAAATAGAACCATGTCCAATTTTAATCAGTTGGAATCAGGATATTATTTTACATGTTTTCATGCTTTGATATTCAAGAAAAACATTTTATTTTTCAGAACTTGGAATCAACTTTGATCACATCACCCAAAAGGTAAGTGATAATTGCATACACCAATCGTTTTGTTTATATGGCTGACTGCTGTTAAATATTATTTTGAGGGGTTGAAAACAAAATGCGCTTTGTCTATTGTATCATAATTTTTTACTTTTGATATTAAATCTGGTTTAGAGTGCCAGTCATGAACATAAAATTTCCCTTTGGAATAAACAGAAGTTGTTGCATGAATTTCTATCGTACGGGAAAAAAATTAGATGAAGAAATCAACCAATTTTTATTTGATCTAAATACTTATATTTAAGGAGAGACAACTCTCTAAACACTTTTGAATATTGATGTAAGAGAGACAACTCTTGCAAATACTATTAAATAGACATTTGTAAAGGGACACAACTCCTTCATTCTTATAACATTTTAAAGTTGTACACTTTATTTTTGGTCTGATCTGATAATGAAAATATGATGACATCATTTCTCACCATATTTTCACCTGATTTGGTGCAAAATATAATTGTTTGTTCAATTATTTGCTATCTTGCATATTCTTTCAGCAATTTTTTTTTTTTTATATCAATTCACATTATTGTTGGAAAATTTTGTATATTTTTAGGACTTTCAAATTTTTTTTGGACTTCCCAAATTAACTTTGGCTCTTGGATTTGAACAGACTTGTCTATTTGACAAGTGTTTGACCTCTCGAAATTTTAGGGAAACAGTTTTTTACTTCTAAAATAGGTAAATCCCAAGAGTCTATCGAAAGCCCTAATTTCATTGTTGCATATTTTTAGCTCACTTGGCCCGAAGGGCCAATTGAACTTATGACATGGTGCGGCGTCCGTCGTCCGTCCGGGGTCAACTTTTTACTTTAAACAACTTCTTCTCATTAACCAAAAGGCCTGGGGTGATGATATTTTGCCAGAAGCATGCTGGGATGAAGGGCTTCCAAGTTTGTTCAAATAAATGACCTTCATCTATTTTCAAGGTCACAGGGGTCAAATACATTAAAATCTTTAAGCAACTTCTTCTGAATAATCAAGAGGCCTAGGGTGTTGATATTTGGCCAGTAACATGCTGAAATAAAGGGCTACCAAGTTTGTTCAAATGAATGACCTTGATTTATATTCAAGGTCACAGGGATCAAATATGTTTAAAACCTTTAAACAACTTCTTCTGAATAACCAAGAGGCCTAGGGTGATGATATTTAGCCAGTTACATGCTGGGATGAAGGGCTACAAAGTTTGTTCAAACGAATGACCTTGAATCATATTCAAGGTCACTGAGGTCAAATATGTTTAAAACATTTAGACAACTTCTTCTGAATAACCAAGAGGCCTAGAGTGATGATATTTGGCCACTAACATGCTTGAATGAAGGGCTACCAAGTTTGTTCAAATAAATGACCTTGATTTATATTCAAGGTCACAGGGGTCAAATATGTTTAAAACCTTTAAACAACTTCTTCTGAATAACTGAGAG